CTTATTTCAGGATCTTACTGAGCATTCAGTTGTCATGTCTTCTTAGTATCCTTTGGTCTACTGACAGTTCCTCAGTCTTTCCCATATTTTTATGAACTTGACAGTTTCAAGATGTACTAATCAGGCATTATATAGAATACCCCTAAATTTGGGTTCATCTGAAGTTTCTGCCATGACTTGACTGGGGTTTTGGAAAAAATAGCAGAGAAGTGATGGATCCATCTCATGACATTATATCTGGGTTAGATGATATTCATATGACATCACTGGTGATATAAACCCCAATCACTGGATTAAAGGAGTACTTGCTATTTCTACATTAACATTACTCCTTTTCCCTTTACATACTCTATGTTTTTTTTTTGAAAGTGAGTCGCTAAGTCCAGCCCACACTCATATGTGTGGATGTTTGGGGTGGGAGTATTAAGCTCCTTTCCTAGGAAGGAGAATATATACAGATACTACTTGGAATTCTTCAATAAGGAAGATTTGTCTCTTATCCTTTATCTGCTATCTTTTGATTTGTGTCTGCATTATATCTTTTCCAGCCTTTTACTTTTCATTTCTCTGACTCTTTATATTTATGGTGGAATTCATGTAGACAACATATAACTAGGTCTTATTTTAAAATATAATTTGTTAATCTCCTCTAATTGGAGTATTTAGATGATGCACATTAAATATAATAATCAATATAGTTGGGTAAATCTATCATCTTGCTAACTTTTCTATTTGTTCTATCTATATTGATCCCTTTATCCTTTCTCTAAAAAATCTTTTGGGTGTTCAATATTGGCTTATTAGGCAGATATCTTTATCTTATTTATTTTCCTTAGTGGCTTCTTTAAAGTTTACAATATACCTATAATTTAAGAACCTTAAAACAGCAAACTACATTCTCTACCCTTACCCTGTCCCTTGTGCTACCGTAGTCATATACTATAATATTGACTTCTATGTTATTACACACAACACATTGGTGATTTCTACTTTATTTTTTTAAATCTCTATTGTTTAAAGTATTACATATGTCCCCTTGATTTTTCCACTGATCCTTTTAAGCCTGCTCCCGCCCCCGACCCCAGGCCTCCACCACCCTATTGTCTGTTTCCAAGGGTTATGCATATATAGTTCTTTGGTTGGTCTCTTCCCATCCACCATTCACCCCCATCTTCCCTCTGAGATTTGACAGTCTGTTCCATGCTTCTATGTATCTGGATATATTTTTTTAATCTTCAACTGTATATTTATTTGATTTTTTAATATTTTTTTTTATTGTTGATAGTATTACAGATAACTCCTATTCTCTCTCCCCACTCCATTTTTCCCCTCCTCCCAGCTCCTAGCCACTCCAAGTATTCACCTCCCTATTCCCCTTTTCCATAGGCTATGCATGTAAGTATGTAAGTTCTTTGGTTTATCTCTTCTTGTCCCCCAACCCCACATTGAGATATGTCAGTCTGTTCCATGCCTCTCTGCTTCAAGTCTTATGACTGAGATCATGTGATACTTGTCTTTCTCTGACTTACTTCACTTGCATAATACTCTCCAGGTCCTCCATGCTGTCTCAAGAGTAAGGCAACCTTCTTTTTTACTGCTGCATAGTATTCCATTGTATACATGTATCTTTTTTACACACTCATCTACTAATGGACACTTGGGCTGTTTCCAGATCTTAGTTATTATAAATTGTGCTGCTATGAACATGGGGATGATTTCTACTTTACTCAATTACCTTTTGTAGAAATTAAAAATGAGAAAAGAAGTCTTACATTCACTCATATATTTACTATTTCTGGCATTCTTCACCCCTTACTGTTCTCTAGGGTATCCTTTTAATTCCATCTAAAGAACTTCCTTTAACATTTCTTGTAGTGCAGGTGTGCTGACAATGATTTCTCTCACTTTTTGTTTTTCTGAAAAAGACTTAACTGTGTCTTCATTTGTGAAGGATATTTTCACTAGATATACTATTCTATTATAGTTTTACAAAAATTTTCTTTATTACTTTAAAAATGTCAATCCATTAACTTCTGGCTGTGTAGTTTTTTTTTTACAGGAAGTCTTCTGCCATTACTACTTTCAGTCCACAGACCGACGCTCTACCACTGAGCCAAACCGGCTTTGGCATGCCATTACTACTTTCATTTGTGTCTTTTTTTTTTTTTCTCTAGCTAATTTTAAACTTTTGTTTTTACCACTGGTATTGAGTAATTTCAGGACCTACCCTTGGTGTGGTTTGTTTGGTCCATTAAGCTTGAGGTACAGTGTGCTTCTTAGAACTCTGCATTAATCATTTTCATCACAACTGAAAAAAATTGGCTACAATCTCTTTAAATATTTCTTCTGCCTTTCCTTATCTTCCTCTCATTTTAGGGCTCAAATTACATATATGTTAGTCCTCCTGATATTGGGCTGTGGGTCCTGAAGGCCCTGTTAACCTTTTCCAGGGGTTTTCCTTCCTCTGCTTCATAGTGGATAGTTTTTACTGGTATGTCTTTGAGTTCATTGATCTTTTAAGATGTGATGTCTAATATCCTCTTAATTCTATCAGTGAAATTTTCAGTCCAGGTATTATATTTTTCACCTATAGATGTTTTGATATCTTCTGTTTCTCTCATAAAATCCAGGTCTTCCTTTAAATTTATGAGTATATTTTTAATCTTTATAATATCTATCATAAGGTCCTTGTCTGCTAATTCCATTGTGTCTGTCATTTTTGAATTTGTTTCTATTGATGAATTTTCCTCTTGGTTATAGGTTACATTTTCCTGATTGTCATCGTCTGGTACTTTTTTTTTTGACAGGCTGCTAGTTACTGTGAATGCTATATTGTTGAGTGTTAGATTTTGTTGTCTTCTTTTAAAGAGGGTTGAAGTTATTTTGACAGGCGGTTGAATTTCTTGCATATAAGGTTGATCCTTTTAAGGCTTTTTATTTTTTTTAAAGGAAATAGTTTTGTTTAAAACTTTTTATTTAAGTTTAACACACATACATAAAAGTACAAACATCATTGGTGGTTTGCTTGAGTATCGCTTGCTGACAGAACTGGCACTAAGATCAAGAATCAGCACATCACCAGCATCCCTGCAACCCTCTCTCGCTGTCCTCAAGGCCTGACTTTTAACCTTTGTTAGGGAAGGGCTATTTTTGCTCTAGATACTATCGATAATTTAAATCCTACCAAGGCTTTGCTCTAGGGTCTCTGATGAATGTCCTGAGTGATCACCAACATCTTCCTTTTCTGGCGGGTCAGAGCTTGAATGATTCCCAGTCTGTGTGAGCTCCCTCTACAGGTAGGCAGATTAGTCAAGAGGACCCAATTCAGATATCTGAAGCTCTTTTGCTGAGCAGCTAAATCCCTTCTGTCTGAATATCTGGCCCACAAATTGAAACCACCTCTTCCTCAAATTCAGATCTGTAACCCCTCAACTCAGCAAGACTGTCCTGCTCCTGGTCCAGGGTCCAGAAAATGCCTCTAGGCAGAAAGCCAGGGGGACCACAGAACTCATCTTACTTGTTTCCTTTCTCTCAGGGATCATACTCCTGTACTACTTTTGTCCAGTATGTGAAAACAGTTGTTTTCATATTTGTCCTGAGTTTTAGTCATTAATGGCAGGGGCAAAAATCTAGTTCCAATTACTCCATCATGGCTAGAAGCAGAACAAAGGCCTCTTTAATAAAATTTCCAGCACAAATGCCATGTTTTGCAAGATTTCATCTACCAAAATAACCCAATCCATATGTCCCCTCCATCCTTCCATCTATCTATTCAGTGGCTGCTAGATCCCTGGGAAACATAGATGAATAAAACTTGATTCCTGCCCTCAAAGAACTCACAATTAAAAGGGAAAGCCAGAATGTGTAATAAATTATCCTGCAGGAAGATAAGTATAATTATACAAGCAGAATAAAGAGCTGTGGGGACAGAGGGAAAGACACAGTCAATTCTACTTGGAGAGATCAGGGAAAGTTTTTACAGCCTAATCTTTAGAGTTACATCTTAAAGAATGAGTCTCAAAGATTGACAGTTGGGGCGGGACATTTGGGGAAAAAAGAAACTCTGTATGCAAAGTATGAAGTTATGAAGCAATAGGTAAGCTTGGAAGAAATACTAACAGTTCCAAACAGCCTAACACAGGGTTTGAAGCAGTGAGGAGAGAGCTAAAGCCCGGGGAAAACAGAAGGGTCACATCATGAAGGAGGACCTTGAGTGCCATGATAGTCATCATTTGCACCCGTAATTCATTAATATCAATCACAGTCTATAGAGCTCTTAGGATGGTCTATAGATACTATATACATTTAATTCTCACAAATATCTTATAATATAAGGAAGCTAAGGTTCAGAGAGCTTAAGCAATTTTGCCCAAGATCACATGGCTAGTAAGTAAAGAAGCCAGCATCTAAATACAGGTCTGATTCCAAAGCCAATATAAGAATCATGACTCTAACCTATAGGTGCAGGAAAGTTATGAAAGGATTTTTTGTCTTTAGAAAAAAATTTAAAAATTATGAAATGGTTTTAAGTATAGCTAGATTTAGTTAAACATAACTATAACTAAATTAGGGAAATATAGTTAAACTGATGTTTCAAAAGGTCATGAGAAAGGTCTAGAGTTCTGAGTACCAGTTCAGAGGTTGCTGGTAACAGTTGGATCAGGTGGCGGTCAGGAGGGATGGAGAAGAGGCTTAGAGGGGCAGGAAGTCAGTGAATGGAAAGCCATTGTTTATGCTACAGATGGGACATCTTTACAGGACACAATGACTCCCTCAAAATCACAGTAAGCTGCGAGCAAAGGTGTAGCAAATGAGCCCCTCCCAACTTCCTTCACTGAACTGAGACAAAGCTTCCAGAGAGAACAGAGAACTGCAGTGCAATCCTTAGGCCATAGGAAAGCCACAGGTGCCCCCCCCCCCACCACCACCACCACTTTCCCCACAAATGTGTCACATGCACAGCCACCCACAGGGTCAGACCCCAAGGGCTCATTACCCACCACGTCATTCGGGAGGCTCTGCAGGTCGTCGAAGGGGGTTTCCAGGGTGTTGGTGTCCACATTTAGGATCACGACATCATCCAGGGCCATGTTTTGAACTTTCTGCAAATAAAAAATCCAAAACAGACATCACCGAAGCACCATGAGGACACACATCTTCCCTGTCCTTCTCTTGGGAAGGGGAGTAGGAAACAAAGTGACACTTGACACTTTGGGGTGTGGGCTCCCGCAGGGCCTCACCTGTTTGGCTCCCCACTGCATAATAACCAGCACCAACAAAACGGTTTGGTAAGTGCTCATTAACACTGGTCTCAAACCCCAGCCTCTAGGACAGAACTTGGTACCTAAGTAAACATTTCCAGATTCCTCCCAGCAGGAGGGTGGAGCCTCGCTAGTCTGAAACTTCCTGGAGTTGAAATAACACTCCCAGAGGGCAGAATCCTGGAACCCTTCTACTTAATAAGACCAGGAGCCTCAAACCTCTGCTACCAACTTCCCCAGGCCATGGGGGCCTCGGCCACAAACCTACCAATCAATTCATAAACTTTATCAAAAGCTTACTATGGCCTGAGACTTACAGAGGAGGGACAAGATCGGCTACTTAGAAATTCATTCTCCCCCAAACCCCAGGACTCATATGAACTGATCCCCTTACTTACAAGCTATTAGCAAACAGCATTGATACAGCACACATCACCAGTGTTCCACAAAGCACAGTCCCCATTTTACAGATGAGAACACCAAGACTCCTGATGGATTGCCTATGGCTCCTTCGCTGCCTCCCTTTGCAATCTGACAGGTTAAACACATAGCAGTGTGCTAGCGGGAAGTTACAAACACAGCCTCAAAGACAACCTTTTTCACTAACACACACTTCAGAGCTCACACAGCATTTTCACAAAGATTCTTTCATTTTCAGCAACGTAGCTGCAGGGGAGGTATCACCATCCCCACTTCAGAGGTGAGAAAATGAGGCTCAGAGAGGTGAGGTGGCCTTCCCCAAGGTCATGTGGCTACACTGGGGCTTCTTTTTGTAAAACTGAGAGGATAACTGTGACTTGCGCTCCTTATCCCACTTCTCCCCCTGGGGCTGCTGGGCACACAGTAGGACTTCTAAATAGTAGCTATTATTATTGCTTCTATAATAGATACGTCAGCCCTGATTAGTCTGAAAGCAGTAGAGCCAGTGGCTTTAGCGCAAAAGTCCTCTGTCCTTTCTTGGAAATTGCTGGGCTCTCACTTCAAAGACGCTGGCACCAGAAACAGAATCAGGAAAGGGCCCACAGGGAGCTGAGCCATAGCTCAGCTGAGGAGGCTTTGATAACTGAGCTGATAGCCACTGCACCCTAAATCACCCATCTATGTATCTATGTACCTATCTACCTACCTACCTTTCTTCTCTTCTGATCTCCCAAAGAGTTCCAAATCCAAGGGGTGGGCCCGGCCACCGGCGGAGGCTGCACGGGCTGAAGGCAGTGAGCGGATGCTGGTGTGGACCAGCTCTGGCACTTTCTGTGTTCCCGCGGGGCCCCAGCAGCACAGACCAGCCCTTGTGGCTCTCTGCGGCTGGGCTGGAACAGGCTTTTGATTACTTCCCACTCCTGCCTGGAGGACTTGCTGGTTAAGCTATGTGGAGTGTTTACTTTTTCAACAATGGCAGCAAGCTGGAGAAGAGGAAACAACCTGGCCCTTTTTCAGACTGAGCAGGCCAGGGTCCCCTTAGAAACCAAAATGCCCAAGCACCAGGCTCCAGGCAGGAGCTGGGTGGCACGGTTTCCTCTTGTAGGACAGTGCTGCCTTCCCAGTGGCAAGGCCATTTCCCAAGGGGCTGTTGGCACTGGACTCGGGGCCTTCCTGAAGCTCAGGGTCCCAAGGAAAGAATCGGAGGCCAGCTCTGCTGGTGGTGCCTTATCTGTGAAAGGCTCATGGAACAAGGGGAATGGAAAAGGCACAAAACCCCACAAAACACCTCACACTGCGGGTGGGAGAGGGAGGTGCTGTGGAGAAGGAAGTTGGATGCTTACAGGGTGCCGGGTCGTTTAATCCTGTCCATGTTATAAGGGAGAAACCATGGTAACAAGAAGGAAACAGGACTCAAGGAGGTCAAACCAACAGCCCAAGTCATACAGCTGGTGAGCGGCGGAGCTGGCGTTTGCGCTGGGTCTGACTCAAAAGCCTGACTCTGTAAAGACAGCCCAGAACAAGTACCAGGCTGGGCGTGCCGTTATGTCAACCCGCTCAGGACCTGCGTTCTCTTGCCTTTTGTGTCATAAATCTTACAGCGGCCTACTCTACAAAACTGGGAAAGACACAGAAGTTCAAAGAAGAAAATGATGGTTAGGAGGTAACATTTCTGTGTATTTCTTTCCACATTCCTCTGACCCAACCCCTACGTTCAAAAAACACAGTTGGAACAATTCTTTTTTTTTTTTTTTTTTTTTTGAAATGGAAACATGTTATTTTTATTTATTTATTTATTTATTTATTTATTTATTTATTTTTGGAACAATTCTTAATGTTTCTTTCTGACTCTCTCATTTATTACCATATAAGCAATGCTCCGCTTCATTAAAACCTTTGTAAAGATCATTACTAATTGTTACAAAATGTTTCACTTCATGGAAACAAACCCATCCAAGACTCTTTGTTGGTGATTATATCCAGTTGTTAAGACATTATTATATGTAATACTGTCGTGAAATCTGTAGGCACAAAGCCTTGTGCTTTAGGATGGATTCCTAGAAGTGGAATTTACTTTCTACTTCTTAAAAAAAAAAGTGCCCCTCTCAAACTGAACTTTGAAAAAGATAGCTTTACTTCCAATTATTTTAAAGTCATTTCATCCACAGCTTGTGTTTCCTACTCTAAGTGGAGAAAAATCAGCAAAGACACGAGCAGATGTCAAAATAGTCCTCCAAAAACTCTACCCAATTAAAACACTTACTAGTACCGCAGCACACCGAGACGGCTCTCCGGTAGCTTGTCCCACCAACACATTCCCTCTCTTTTTAGTTACAACATATGCCAAAGCTCCTGCCAGCTGCAAACCCTCCCCTCACCAGACTCTATAGGCTTTTTTTTTTCCCAGAAAGAAGAAAAAAAAAAATACTGACATGCACAATGCTTTCCAAATGGTACTTCTTGACAGAGAAATACACAAAAGTGGCATCTTCCCATAAACACTGTTAATAAAAAATGGCTTTCCCTTTATGCTCTGTCACAGACAGACTTAGTCTGACCCCTGCCTTTCAGGAGAAGGAGTTGGTCATGGCAGCCGAGAGGAGTTAAGTGTCACGTTTGGATTGCCCCTTACCTCTTGGGTTGCCTGAGGCAATTCACTTGACCTCTTAAATCCCGTTTTCACCTGTAATACAGGGATCATGCCAGTACCCACCTCATCGAGTTGTGAGGATAAGGTAAGCGCATGTATGTAAGAGTTCGCATGATTCCCAGGACATCCATAATGGGCATTTGCCTAACAGGCTCAGTTGCCTGTGTGTCCCCTCTCCTGAGTCCTTGAGAACTCAGTGGAGCCTGGCTAGCCTCACTCCACAGGGCCAGAGGAAGCAGGGCATCTGCCTTTCCCTGTGTATTCCTGTGGCTATTCCCACAACCACGATAAGAAGTTAATCTAGAGTTCTTAAACAAGTGTTCAATTCCTCCCCTCAACTGTGGGCTTCTTGGGGTCACGAGATGGATCTCTGTACTCTCAGCACCTACCTTAAGTTAGGCAATTCTTGAATGAATGAATGAATGAATGAATGAGGCAGAACAACCTTTAGGCGAACAACACAGGATCCGGAAGCGGGTCAGAGTTGTAATCTAGCTCCACCACTCCCCAGCTGTGTAAACTTGGGCACTTCACTTCACCTCTCTGGGCCTCAGTTTCTTCCTCTATAAACTGGTGACAACAGTGCCTACCTCATCAGCTTGTTATAAAAATTAAATGGGCTATATAATCTTTTTAAGGTACTGAGAGTTGTGTCTGGCACATGAGCAGCTTAACAAACATTTGTTAAATAAAAAGGAACAATCTTTTGAGGATAATGGGAATATTCTACATCTTTACTGTGGTGGCAGTAGTTTCATAAACAAATCATACATTTTAAATGGTTGGTTTGTTGTAAATAAATTATACCCCAATGAAGTTGATAAACACATCAGTACTATGTCCAGAACATAGAAGAAAATCATGATAGGCTATAAAAAATAACAATGCACGAATGATAGTGAATGCTACAGGACAAAGTAATTTTTCCCTAGGCCATCACCCAATGTACACTCTGATTGGCAGCTGTGTTTGGCTCCCTGCCTTCCTCTTTCCTTTTTGGTCTAGTCCAGGATTTTTTTTAAACTTTGTTTCCCACTTATGCCCTTAGAATAAACATGGAAATCCAATGCTCCTAGAAATTCTGATATACTTCCCTACACAAAAGTTGGGTCCTATTGAGAATCACTCTACAATAGCTAAGAAGACTTTACTGAGCCTGACTTCCTAAAGTTGGTATATGGAAACAAGGAGTTTCCCCCTAAAATATAAAATGTCACCTACTCTTGTTCAAACCGCACCAGTTCCCTACCCAGACTGGGGGTGATCCTGCCTGTCCAAGGAGAAGACTTAGAACCATGTCTTAAAGTGAAGAGCAAGTGTTTGCACTGACAATGTAACCCAGGAGATCCGAAGACTGGTCAGGAGCACTTTCCACTCCTCGACTGAGGAAGCCAGCACTGGGGTGGAGCAGGGCTCAGCTCCACTGTGCTCCTCAGCTAAGCACTGATCTAGGAGGGATGTGTGGGTCCTGAGGTGGCACATGTGGGGTAAATGAGCAGCATGCAGTGGTTCTTTTCTGTTGTCCTTCCACCAGGACCATTGTCAGGACAGGGCATGTCTTACTTGTCCCTGCATCTCCTGTGCCCAGCACCATGCCTGCAGAGGGAAAGTGCTTACTAATTGGAGAATGAATGAAGTACTGTGCCTGGAATCACTCTACTGGGAGGCAGGCCTTGCAGCAGATGTCAACGTAAGCCCAAACAGACAACGTAAGCCCAGTGTAAGCAAATTGAAGTTTGCTCAAGGAAGTGCAATGGGAATAACAATAATG